TCTGAGAGTGGTACGCTTGGCCCTAGATAAATTGAGCATCGGAGGCTGGGAGAGGGTGGAATAATGTAACTGTTTTGGACTAGCAAGGAGTGAAAATGAGTCGGCCAGTTTGTGGAAAATTCCCTATTTTTCATTTCTTCTGTGGGTGAAATTGTCTTTTCAACGTGCTGTCTTACGGTATGATCGGTGATCGAGCATTAACTCGGGAACCTTGGATCCTCTTAGCTGGGACGTTGTGTGTGTGTGTGTGTGTGAGAGAGAGAATCCTATTTTCAATTGTCATGTGGCGGGAAGAATGAAAATGTCCAAGATTTATTATTGTCCATATCTGTTTGGGCTCAGAATGTGTCTGGTATTGGGTATATCCAAACATATATGATGCTTTTTCGGTAGCAGATGCGCTCCTAGTTTTTACCATCCGAGCTTCCGGAACTGAGTATCCGCTGCAGTCGGTGACCAACGCCACACACAACAGCAGAGCGCCATGCACTACTCGCTGATGTGAAACTGTGCAGTGCGTAAAACTATTTTATGCTTAATCTGTTTGAACTTTTGTTAAATACAAAAAGCGATGCAGTGCAGCGGCGCCGCCCTCCTTCCGTTGCCACTGCTCTGCAACAGAGGCAGTGGGGGGAGGTCCGCTGTGTCCGACGTGGCGTAGCATCACGTGCTAAAGGTAAGATGCGACCTCGGGCTCGATCAGTGAGCAAGCTTTCAGGTGGGTATGTCTGGAATGCACGTATCTATAATACATAAACACAAAAATAGGCAGTGGCCAATGGGCATGGAAACAAAGATGTAGAAAGAGGTGGCGGGGAGGGACACAAAGAAGAATAGGGGGTAACAGTTTCTGCTGCGATGCGTTTTTTCGTGAACGATTTGGTTCTGAATAAAATGAAATGTGTACTTATAGGAACGTGCAAGCGTACCGGTGATCGACGCTAGTGGTACTGTATCTGCTAGAATGCGCAATCGAACGGTGTAGCGGTACTAGGATTATTTGTTTGAAGCTATTCGCAAAAGCCAGGGCCCTGAAGGGACGAAGACGAGTTTGCCCTAGGCCCCCGCTAGGGGCGTTATGCCTGAAGTTGAAACCTCGGCTAGTGAGCCGTTGACACGTCGTCCTGAAAACAGCAACAATTACTGCTATTGCTACTATAACAGTAATAACGCTCAGAAGTCCGAATATCTTGCTGCTGTTGTTTTTGCGCTAGCGGTTTTATTCGGATCCTTATACCTGCGAGGACTCTCTAGTACAGGAGTGCTCCAGTCACGCAATCGTATCATTGCGGCCGCAGTAACAGGTTAGCTTCATTTATTCACTGAACAAGCCAAACCCTTTTTCTGCTTGACAGTCTTTTGCTTCGTTTTTCAGCATTTTTACATCTCTGTACAAATGAAAAAAAAACGAGAAGTTGCATGTGAGTGTCTGTGTCCTCGTGTGTATATTCGAAAGCAGGTGAATTTTTCCATCCATTTTCAACTCAGTAACCAGAAAAACTAGGAACCTGATATTCTGTGAGCATATTTCCCCGCCATATGCCACCCTTCTATTTTAAAATCTATGTTCAATTACGCCTGGGTCTGACATATGGATGCCTGAAAGAAAACAGTGGGAAACAGGTTCGCAGAGCAGACAAGATAGAAAGCTGAAATTTTACAAAAATAATCTTTATGCGTGTGTGAACTAGAGACTTCAAATTTAGTTATCTGCGTTTTTGCATCACGCATGCGGCCGCATCAAAGTACGCAGTTGGAATGGTGCCACTAGCTAGAAAGCCATAGCTGCAGCTTTTCCAGAACATTTATCGCTCATCTGGGGACTATAGAACTGCAAATACGACACGCTTTAGACCACCTCGAGTATATTTGTAGCGAAGTGGCGATTTCATTTATCGGATAAGTTGTGAAGCTGAAATTTTGCAAGTATATTTTATATTCACTTGTGGTTTAAATTCATTTCTCAGGCTAGTTTCGCCAATAAGGACACAAGAAATACCATTCTACCCCAACCTCAAAGACAAGTGCATTTTGCTCGGGTTTCGTTGTCCTTTCTCTGTATCCTGCTTGTTGTCTACTTTGCATTTTCAGTAAATGACCGGCAACAGTTAATTATATCCTATGGCATGTGTATGTTTGTTTGTGGATGCGGGTATGTGTTTGTCCAAGTATTTCACTTTGGCAAACAAGTAAGCTTGAGTGCTGAAATTTTGCCAGTGTGTTTCCGGCCCAGGAACGTGATATCAATTTTTACGCATGTCTAAGTCACGCGTACAACGCGTGAAAGTC